GTTCGATATCCGGGAGCAGTGTTGGGTAAAGTACATCTAAAAAGTACTTCAGGTAAAGTACAAAGCAAATGAGACGTTATAACTTCAGGTAAACCAAGAAATACAGTGGGTGCACTGTACCTTGAAGTAAAGTATTATAAAAACAATGTACTTTGAAAGCAAAGTAGAAGTATTTTAACACAATTTTTTATGATGTCCCTTAATTCCCATATACATTGATTTTTGACTGGTATGCATTGCCCAGGGGTAATCAAGGGTGTATGACCTATTTTCAAAAACAGCGGCATTATGTGATAAATTCAAGTGGCCACAGAGTGGTTATTTTTATAAATGGAGGCCGAATTCAGACGTCCCTCTTCTGAATTTGGCGCCGCTTACACTGGATTGTTGCGCCATTACTTTAGCCCCGTAGCTCCAGCAAGCAATCCTCTCAAAAAGAAGTGTCCCCTCTTTAATGAAAAAAAAAATAGTGAGTGGGAAGTAAGCTGGTGATAATTAACCATAATGTGACACCTGAGATTGGGGTGCGAAAATATTCAGGAACTTTCAAGTCGAAGGAAGAGAAAAAAGAGAATGTCTCAAAAGATTGTGACGTTCTCCTCTGTTGTCTTTTTCTTCGACTTGAAAGTTTAATTGTTCCGCACCATAGTTTCAGGTGCTAGATTATAATTCATTTTGCTTTCCTAATAATTTAAGCCTCCTCGCTTGCACTGACCGACCGAGAAGTAGCCTGAGTTCAAATAGCTACGGGGAAGCCTCCCCCAGAACAACCGGAGCGATGCATCGTCTGCTCACGTCTCTGGTGAAAGTAGAATATCCCCCCTAGTATTTCTTCGGAGTTCACAAAGCATCATTTCTTGATGCAAAATGAACAAAACCAAATTTGGAAAATTACTTTGAAGTCGTAAATTGTACTTTCCTCGGAAAGTACCAGAAACAAATACTTTAAATAAAGTAGAAGAAGAAGAACATAATCGGAGAATGTACTTCAAGTAAAGTACAAGTTGCCTAAACCTACTTGAAGTAGTACTTTAAGTACAATGTACTTGAAGTACTTCCCAACACTGCCTGGGAGTGACCTGTCATTCATTGATTCTTGCAATTTCTGTCCTGGTAAATTCGAGAATCTTGTTGCTTTGTTCGAGGTGCGAATGCTCTATGCGCCAAACCTTCTACGCCGATTGTTCCAGACTCCCACGCGTGTATATAAGGGGCTCCGCGTGCCGAGGCGCAGTCAGTCTCGCCCTAGCGTTTGACTCTGTTGTTATGCCGAATTCGACACCCGTGACGCTCTGCTGATATCTTCTGTTTCCTATTAAAGCGCAGCTCTTAGGCGCCCGTTTCCGACTTGAGCGGCGTCGGCGTCGCCGTCGTCGTCACCACGCGGTGCATAATGGATAAACTTTTCAGCTAAATCTAGAGAAAAATTTTCCCCGCTAAGTTTAACGAAAAACGTTTCGCCACTAAATTTGGCGAAAACGTTCCCCGCTAAATTTAGCGAAAAAAACTTCCCCGCTAAACTTAGCGGAAAAAATTCCCCGCTAAATTTACGCGCAAAAAATCGCCCGCCAAATTCAGCGGAAAATTTTCCCGCTAAATTTATCGGAAAATTTTCCCCGCTAAATTCACCGGAATATGTTTCCAGCTAGGTTTAGCGAAAAAAAAATCGAGGATAAATTTAGCGGAAAAATACCCCGCCAATTTTGGCGGAAAAATTTCCCCGCTAAATTTAGCGGAACAGTTTCCTCGACCAATTTAGCGGAAAAATACCCCGCTAAATGTAGCCGGAAATTTTCCCCGTATAAGTCTAACAAAAAAAGTTCCCCGCTAACTTCAGTGGAAAATGAGGGAGTTTTCGTGGATCGTTTTCGCTATCCCGCAACACTCTACGCAACCACCTACGCTAGCCGGAACTCTACAGTCGAGGCCATCGGCGCGCCGGCGCAGTAGCGGCTGCTTCGTTGCGGAGGGCTTAGCGGAGGGGAAAACGCGGTCTGCAAACACTACCTATTATCCCCGCTAAATTTAGGGGAAAAATCTCTCCGCCAAATTTATCAAAATATTTTGCCCTAAATGGGAGGCGAACTGGAGAAAAGGACGGGTATAGCCTCCTCTCCATACCTTCCCCTCCTCCTCCTCAAGACCTGCTCTCTAATTGGGCGTTACAGGGATTGTAAACGTCTTTCTTTTTTTTTTTCATTTGTGGGCACAAGTTCGTTTCATTAAACGGTTCAGTTTCCCCAGTTATTCATTGCTTCCTCGCCTGTTCACTCGTGACAATATCTAAGCACGGTATAAGCACGCAGCACAGCTTAGAGGGCTACGACCTCCACCTTCTGTACCTAAACTACATCAAGCGGCGTAAATATTAATTGGAAAGAAAATATTTTTCGTGGAAAAACGTTTCTTTTTAATATACATGTTCTTTAGAAATTTTATTGCAGTGTCCCATTAAATCACGTGTAAAGCGCGGGAGTGCGCTAAAGTTACCATTCGAGCAGCCAGCACAAGGTTGGTGATGCAAAAATGCGAATGATATGAATTACAGCCGCGATTTCGCATCGCCAGTATTGTCTTTGATCTTTTTTGTGCTTGTTTATTTTTTGGAGACTAAACAAAACTTCACTATAGTGTTTATGATTGATTTGGAAATTCGTCAAATGTGCAAATTATTGACATGCATATACTATTTTTGACAACTTGTCATTTTCGAACCTATAGCAGAGTGGAATATAAAGTGCCATTAACAGCGGAGTTGACATTCCAATAAAAATTTTTGGCTAAAGAGAAACGCCTGTCTAATTTCGACGTGGCGAAACAAGGCAGTCCTACGTCATATCATTTGGAAAGCATACACGTAAAATATTACGACGACATACCGCCGAAAAGTTTATTGAACCGGTCAACGAAGTCAGGGCGGCTCCAGGTTCACCAAAATCCGCCCAATCTAGCGAGCGACGCGCGGCGCGAGTAACAGCGCATTGAACGCCACTGTGTGAACACAGCCAAGACTGCCCGGAACGTCAACTACTGGAAGAATTGTTTCGCCTGCTTCTTATTTTCGAGGCGCGGAGCGCGAGGGGAGAGAGGAAAAAGAGATAATGCCCTATTGAAAAAACCAGCTTAAGCTGGTCCCAGCTTCAAGCTGGGTTATTGCCCCAGCATGCCCAGCTTGGCATGCTGGTCATGCTGGTTGATCTGGTCATACTGGTCATGATGGTTGATCTGGTCCCAGCTTCAAGCTGGGTTATTGCCCCAGCATGCCCAGTTTGGCATGCTGGTCATGCTGTTAAACTGGTCATGCTGGTGAACTTCCCAACCAGTTTAACCTGTTTAAATTAATACACAGAATAAAAAAGCCAAGCTCGTCAGAAAAGCCAACTCGGCATCCAATTTATTATTTTCGTACTTGCGGCAGCCTCACATGAACTCAAATGCTACACATCCTCGGCGCTGACACAGTACTAACCGACGCACAGATTCTCGGTGCAAATTGTCTACAATGTTAATAAAACCAGATTGCTTATCTCTCAACACGAAAAAAATACTAGACACAGGCCAAAAACAGGCAATAGCAGACGAAAATACTACACGGACGAGAGAAGCGAACCTGGGTCCCGCCAGCGATGGGGGCGAAGCGGCAACTTGCGTGGTCGGCAGAGGCGAGGAAATCCGTGTGGCTTGGATGGCATTGGCGATACTCCTCGGCACCGCCGTCATTCTTGGGCACACACACGTTCGAAGACACGAAGCGACGCCGCAGTCGGGACGTCTGACATCTTCCCGCACTGAACGGACTGCCGCTCGCTGTCTTCTCAAAACCCGCTTCGCTTGCACCGTCGTTCAACTAGTCTCCAAACAACGCGCACACAGCCGTCCCTTCGATCTGCCCTCTGCCCAAGCTATCCAAACGCGTCTTCGATTCTCCGTTTCTACCACTCTCTCTCTCTCTCTCTCTTTTCTCGCACACAAAGGTAGCTTGCAGCGCGCCTGACGCGCCCGGTGGTCTACCAAAAACGAGAGGACAAAGAACAGGACGTGGCCTCGTTCCAGCAGCCGACCTTGTCGCGCGCGCTCCCAGCAATGCCAGTTCGGCTATCTCTAGCCGACCTTGGCGTGCGCGCTCCCAGCATGACCAGCTTGACCACCACGATTATTATTTCGACCAGATTCACCAGCTTGTCTCCCAGCATGACCAGCTCGTCTCCCAGCTTGACCACATTGGCTCCATGGAAAACCAGTTTGACCAGTTAAGACCAGACTGGCTCCCTGCTACACCAGATTGAATCTAAAACCAGATTCGAGTGAGACCATGCTGGTTTTTACTTAGACCAGACTGACCAGCTTAAATTCCAGCTTGCCCAGCTTAAACCAGCTTGATTGCCAGCTAAACCAGTTTAATTACCACATTGACCAGTTTGACCACCTTGATTACCAGCTTGACCACCTTAATTACCAGCTTGACCAGTTTGATTTTCATGCTGGTTTTTCCAATAGGGTGGGGGGCGCGAATGTGCCCGTGCCCGATCAGCAACGCCATCACGCCGTCCGCCACTTTCGTTCCTGACCTAGCCGACGTCTCCATACCACATGAGGTCCAGTAGTTGACGAGCAGTACCAATGTTGCCTGCCGCGGGAAGGTTTCGGTTCGCTTTGTGATTTTCGTTTAAACGAAATTTGCAAGAAAACTATTTAACTGTTCGGAAAATTATTGACATACCTGTTTATTAGTAGTTTTGATATTATAATCGCCAGTAATCCCAGTTTTTTTTTTGTTTTTTTTTTGGAATTGACAGGAGTCGTTCTTTAATACATTGAGCAATGACAAATTCTAAAAAGAGCATTTTGTAAATTATAGGCATAGGAACGAATAAAAGTTTCTAATTTAGCTTTTACGTTACGTGCTTCCTGAAATTATAGAAGCAGCATTTTGTATAAGACAGGTGCATGAACGAATAAAAGCTTCTAATTTAGACTTTATCTTATTATGCATCTTACAGATATTTTAAACAATATGACCACATCAACATGTCAAGCTGAATCCCTCAATGACAAAATTGCAATGGCCTATCAATCGTGCATGAAGGAAGGTACGTACTTCGCATTAAAAGTATAAAAAAGCCAGTATTACAGAAAAAGGCCGTTTTGTTAATGGCAATTATCTCTCTGCACATCTACATGTCTTAATGAGATCGCATTTTAATAATTATTTGTATCTACTAATTTTAAAGGAGAGCTCCATTAGTAAACAAGCACACATTTTTGTTTCCGGCTTTCATTAATAATATATTCTGATATATTTTCAGATTTGTCCCAACCAGAGGAAGAAATAAGCCGGCTACGAAAAACCTTGAAGGAATTTGGCATCCCTAAATGGCCGCTGATACCTAGTTCAAATGCAACTTTCAACTGGAAAGAAATATACCGAAAAATACGAGTTGGAGCAGACATCTCGTTCATTTTTAGCGTTGATGTCTCACCTCATCTTTTTAACACGTCGCAGCTAGCCATTGACGTAAGTAGCGTCCTAAATATTACTCTTTGCTGTGTGATGTTAGCAATTTGAACCCAGATTTGAAAATGTGAGCTTGCATTAAGTAAAGCAACGTAATGCTGCTGTGCTTGACCTCATATTAACAAAATCGCCTGTGCTGATCTCCTCGTTAACTTACATGCCTGGCCTTAACGATTATTGCCTACTATATGTTTTGTTAAACATTCCTGGACACAATAAGTCCAATCACATGAAAACATTTTTTGACTATGCTACGGCTGATTTTGATTCAATCAACAATGAACTTTGTCGTTTTCTAGAGAACTGCATAGGTTGTTTTCCGGATGGCTCAGTTGATGATAACTGGTGTTTATTTAAAGAAAAAGTTATGTCACTCATGAAAGCACATGTTCCCCTTCGCGTGGTATCTTCTTCACCAGACTCTTGATGGCACAGCGTGACACTGAAAAAGCTGTCAAATAAAAATAAACGATTATTTCACGCAGCAAAACAATTGGACAATATACAACGCGGGAAAGCCTCATCTTTTTAACACGTCGCAGCTAGCTAATATAAGAAAGCAGTTGAAGAAGCAAAATTACATTCTTTAACAGTACGCTGCCGTCAATGTTACTTAACAATCCGCATCAATTTTGGAAAGTTATTATCCCTCCTTCTATTCCTGGCATAGTACTTAGGAATACCCATGAAGAGGAGGTGCCCAGTGAACTGTGTTCTTTTGTGTTAAATGATGTGTTTTTGGATCTTTTTCATGCACGTAACCTCAAATTTCCAGTATTTAGAACTTATGCTTTTTTGCCCATGTTTCCTGTTATCATAGATTGCGAAGTATATGTGACATTATCGAAAAGTTTAAAACCAATACGACAGCCGGCATTGATAATATTAATGCTAAATTTTTGAAAAACACTAATATGTACTCATGCGTTATTTTATCTGAATTATTTTCGCAATCGCCTGTACAAGGAGAATTACCAAAAGATTGGAAGGTGGGGAAGGTGATCCCTCTCCACAAAGGGGGCGATAAGCATAACCTTTTTAAACTTTAGTCCTATTTCTTTAATGAGCATTCTTTGTAAAATCTTTGAGCACATCATTTATACTAACATTTTCAATTTTCGAGACTCAAACTCCTTTTTAACTCAGCGCAACATGGATTTCGAAGGTTTTATTCATGTGAAACTCACATTCTAACCTTTACTCATGACCTTTGCGTAAAAATTGACCGAGGTTGCAGGACTGACTGCATATTTCTTGATTTCTCAAAAGCTTTCGACAAGGTTCCTCACGTGCTGCTTCTTCGTAAACTCCGTAAACTTAACATAGATCTTAATATAATCGGTTGGATAGAATCGTTTCTATCAGACCGTTACCAATTTGTTCACGCTAACGGAACTAATTCTTCAACCTCACGTGTCAAGTCCGGTGTCCCACAAGGTTCCGTATTAGGTGCACTTTTATTTCTCATATATATTAACGATCTTCACACGCATGTATCCTCTAATAATGGCCTATTCGCTGATGACTCTGTAATTTATAAGGAAATCATTAACGACTATGACATATCTGCTCTTCAGACCGATATTAAAAACGTCAACCGCTAGTGCGATAATTGGCTTATGGGACTTAACACCTTTAAATGTAGATCCATGATAGTGTCCCGTCAAAATAACACTTGTCCCTCCTACCGTGTTTATAACTCCCCCTTGCTTTCTGTGCCAACCTATAAATATCTCGGTGTTCATATAACTAACGATGTCTCCTCGAACATCCATGTCGAATATATCACAAACAACGCTAATCGCTTATTAGACTATCTCACGAGGAACTTTTCCCTTGCCCCTTTTTCACTTAAAGTTCTCCTATATAAAACTTAAGTGCGCACCAAACTTGAACAGGCAGGCTCTATCTGGAACCCTGGCGTATCCCTTGCATCATCCATTGAATCCACTCAAAATCGCTCCGCACGTTCTATACTTACTATTACCGTACAGCCAGCGTCACCTCTATGAAAGCGTCTCTATATCTGCCCAGCCTATCCTTTCGTAAAAAAATAGCTCGCCTCTGCTTATTTCACAAGATTTATCACTCTAACTCAGCATTACTAACCTCATTATTTTCATAACCATCATACATATCGCCGCGCACCGATCATCAACTAAAAGTAGGAATCTCCTACTGCATCACCTCCACCTTTTATGCCACGTTCCTACCCCTGACCTCTGTCGACTGGAATCGCCTTCCCGCATCCGTAGTCTCACTTACTGATGCTGCTGATCTTAAAACCGCCATCACTGATGTTCTCAATAATGATCCATTGCGATTCTGTACCTTGTGTTTGCTTTTTTTGCGTTTTGTTTTCATTGTTCACTTTATATTGATGTATAATTCCACTCTTCTCTTTAATGCCTTGAGGCCCTGAGAGTACAATAAATGAAATGAAATTGAATGAAATTAAATTAAATGAACTGTCACACTTGTTGAAACCAAAACGACTCAATAGAAATATGTGAAACCGCTAGGAGGTCTGGTAACACAGTGCGCGTTTCCATGCATGTAGCATCATGTTAGTTTCTGGCTCTTGGCACTCAGAAGGTAGTTGCACTCCCTCAGTGACTGAGATACAGAAACTTTATGATCAGCCAACCTAGACGAAGGACTAGGCCGGCGTTCTTTTTACTTTGATGGCACTTCATTTTACTTTCTTTTCCACGTGGCGGTGCGAAGCGTCGTACTCTTTAGCGGTAAAACAATATTTCGCTCACCATCTTAGCTCTAAACCCATACATGCGAATCAAAGTTGGTTATCTTCTGGGGGCTGCTACTGGCGAAAGCCTCGATCCATGAAGATTTCTGAGTTCCTGTCAAACAAACTGCACCCTCGGTATTGTCTTGGAGGTGTCCCGAACAGCTCGAAGCAATTTCAGATAACTTCGAAATGAGTAGAATACAAATCGCGGACGTCGTGTCGGAATACGAGTATTTGCCTGATCCTTGTAGAAAAACTGAATTTCGGTATCGGTTTTCTAATACGCGATTTCTTCAAACCTACAAAAAAAAGATCCTTTGCAATACGAAACATTTTTGTTTCACCCACGAGAAAAACAACACGAGAGGCCACTTAATTAATTTGGTGCCCCCGATCCACTCGGCGCCTTCAGCATCATGTCACGTTTCTGCTTCAGCCGATATCGAAGTTTTAGCTTCTGTGATGAAGCAAATCAAGTCATGTAGCCAAACTTTTTGTTCCTCAAGAGCGACAGTAAAATCGCCTCTCTGCGACTGAGTTTAAAGCGAACAGACACACCGTCCCAACCTGTTATGGTTTCCTTCCTGCATACACAAATTCTAAATTCTTGTTTTCTTGCTTTTAAAAGTGTTGTTTTCTACAAATTCGGTTTATAATCGATTCACACAATGGATGGATCCACGGACGGAGTGATTACGTGGCGACACTTCTGCGGATCGTCCGACTCCCAAGCGCATAAACAAGAAGGAGACGACGAGCAGATGACAGCGAGGGGGAACCGAACCTATTTTCGACCCTACTGTGCAGCAAAGTTTCAACATGACAGTGTGACTCTTATCCAATAGCGAAATTGACGTTTACCGCTACGGTCATGTTGCTACCGCGAAAACGAATCGCTGTGTGCCGCTGTTACGTAGAGAGCGAGAAACAACACCTTGATATACGTAGCTCAAACCGCCAATATATCTACTAACCCAAGACATGGCAGTGACACAAGTATGGTCCTGCTCGAGAAGGCTTCGGCCTAGAGGCGACGACGTCTTGGACTGGCGGAGGGGCATTTGGAGAGGCCTTCAAGCCCTCCGTGCTCGCACACAACACTCGGGTACAGCACAGTCACAAAAAGGACTTGCTGGATGAAAGGTTCATTGGACCTTCAAAAAAAATGGCGGCGTGCTATACGATTTGTGACGAAAACTACTTAAATCTTCAGATGGACCAGGACCGGAGTCTGCGTCGCGTCATCCAGGCAAAGCTTCTGCAGCTTATTTGATTCGTGCAACCAAGAATCGAGCGACAACATGAACCAGCGAAAACACAAATGCGCCATGTTTGTTTTGTTTGCTCAGAATAAAAAAGAGAACAACGAAAACGTTGTACAATCACCCGCCAAATATCTGCGAGTGAAAACGCGCTCAGCCGTTTTAGACCGCACGTCCGCAGGTCAGGCGCTGATCGCAGGAATCGGAGATGAGTGGTCACGTGGTTGACGGCCCGCGGACAAAAATCGTGATTCGGTTCGTCGTGTGAATCAGTCAACTGTATTCAAATCATTGCTGCGCATTTCTTTCTAGCTGCCCTAAGAAATACCTTTTTTATGTTACATTAAATACAACTAAGTAAATGACTCCTGTTTTCTGCTCATACCGTTCATTATTAACAATACACGTCTTGAATTACGATTGTGGCATTGATTTGTAAAGCACTATCTCCTTTCTGGTTCGCTTTCAACATGCTTGGTCTCACGCACATAAGTTCAGCTGCTTTCGCATGAAAGACATAACAAGCTGATATAACGTGCAAAAAAAAAAGCTAGTTTAGAAGTTTATTTTGGTAAAATATTGCGAAAACACCAAGACAAATACTGTTGTTTTACGGGCATATTAAAAACATTGAAAGAGAACTCCTTTGGAAATGTTGTGAACAAGCACTCGGCGATGAGCACGCGCAGAATTGAGACCGCGAGCCGATTCGTCGATCCTTCAAAGAGTTTGTTCTGAAGGCCTTTAAGGCGACCGTAATACCTGAGTCAGACGCACACAAAAACGACCTTGAGAGCAAACTCCTTTAAAAGATTGGGGGATTAGCTCGCGATCTTGTGCTTATCTGCGTGCGCTGGTTTGCCGAATCTTTAAATGAGATCGTTCTTTACTGACAACCGCACTATACCTGACCCAGGTGTACACCTTTCCAAGAAACACTTGACCCCAAGGGCAGCAAACACTGTTCAGGCCCAGTCACTGGGTTTGAGGCTAGGCTCTCACCGATGATCCTGCTCAACGTAACCGAGTGGACTGTGATTTCGACAGGCGCATCCTACGTTGGTGCAGTTTCAAAAACCGCTGGCGGAATTCTCTCCTTTTCCTGCTGCATTTTGTATTTCGTGGGTTATGTATTTTCCCAAAAACATTTAGAACGCATCGTACCACATTTGAAAGAACAAAACGAAACAAAAAAAAAAAGCTGAAAGAAACTGTAAACTATTTTTGGGGGTACGCGCGCGACAGAACGAATATGACTAAAGTTGTCGTTTTTTTTTTTTTTTTGATAAGTTGGACTGCGCCGCCCGATTAGCCGCGTGTCGAACGACAAAGCGTTCAGCCTGTCCCATCGGTAAACATGCTCACAAATAACGTGTTTACCGATGGACAGGACACCATTGGCGTAGCCAGAAAATATTACCGGGATTGTTGTTTCAAGGTGCTGGTGCAATCACACACACAATAAAGGCAAAATATATATATATATATATAGTGAACGAAGAGGGGAGAAGGTGATTATTGAATATTATTTCATTAAAGTTAGGGAAAGGGAAAAAAAGCTGGCGAAAAATTGGGTCAGGAGTGGGGATTGAACCCGCAACCTTCGCCTGTACGGGGCGCCGCTTTAACCGATTAGACCATCCAGGCCTCTGGTTTCGGCGGACTCAATTTCTGACCAGCTCTCTGTGTACCATTAGTTTCGAATTCGCTTAACTGGGTAGACGACAACCATTGCTGGTTTAAGGACCGCGCTAGTTCCGAATTGCGGCAGTGACGTGGCACGTCATCTCAGCTTTGCAAATATCAAAAAGGGCCCGTCTTCCAAAATATCTAGGGATCCACTCCTCCTCATAGGGACAGGCTGCACCGTATACGGTGCGGCCTGTCCCTATGGAGAGGAGCGGTTCCCTAGATATCCTGGAAGACGGGCATATATATATATAACACCCTGTATATATATATATATACAGGGTGTCACAAATGAAAATTTACACGGTCGTTTTTACCGCAAAAATAAACTAGGCATCGCCGAACGCTCATTCTCCGCCCAAAGGTAGAGCTAGAGGTCACAACCACATGCCAAAGTTTCAGCCCGATCCGATTACTTAATCAAAAGTTATAACTGATTTTCTGAAAATTTCAATGGGAAATGGCGGCCGACGGAGTTTTCAGACACATGGGGCTCTATGGCACCAGAAACCGAAAACGGGCGAAAATGGGCTCCATTTTCCCATTGAAATTTTCAGAAAATCATTTATAACTTTTGATTAAGTTATCGGATCCGGCTGAAACTTTGGCATCTGGTTGTGACCTCTAGCTCTACCTTTGGGCGGAAAATGAGCGTTCGGGGATGCCTAGTTTATTTTTGCGGAAAAAAAGACCGCGTAAATTTTCATTTGTGACACCCTGTATATAGGTGATTCAATAAATAAGGTGAATATTGTTGTATAAGGACTTCTAATACAGATAGAAGCTTACTTTTTTTATTTTTCTACGTAGTCTCCCAGCACTGTCACACACTTTTCCCATCTGTGCACAAGCTTCCTTATTCCCTCAGCGTAAAAATCTTTAGACTGATGCTTCAGCCAGTCGCTCACAACACTTTTGACTTCATCGTCACTTTCAAACTTCGTGCCTCTCGTGAACGCTTTCAAGGGACCAAACAGGTGAAAGTCCGAAGGGGCAAGGTCTGCGCTATAAGGGGGATGAGGGAGCAGTTCCCAGCCGAGCTCGTTGATGGTCTGCACCGTTAAGGCTGCTGTGTGAGGCCTTGCGTTGTCATGATGCAAGATGACTCCTTTTGACTGATGACCTCTGCGTTTGTTCTTCATGTCTTCCTTGACCTGCCTCAGAAGTTCACAGTAGTTGGCACTGTTCACAGTGCTTCCTTTTCCAAGGAATGAAATGGTGATTGGGCCTTGCATATCCCAAAAAACGGTGAGCATCACCTTCCTAGTGGACCGCTGGGACTTGAACTTCCTCTTCACTGGAGAGCCTGCGTGCTTCCACTCCATGGACTGTCGTTTAGACTCAGGCTCCAAGTGCCAAACCCATGTCTCGTCAGATGTGACCACCCACCTTCTGCAGAAACTCATCACCATCCTTCTCATAGCGGGACAGACACTGCTGGGACAACTCGACCCTCCACTGTTTGTGCTCCGCAGTAAGCATCTTTGGCACCCACCTGCTGCTGACCATCGAGAAGCCAAGGTCATCATGGACAATTTTGTGTGCTGTTCCTACAGATAAGCTCAAAGTCTTTGCAATGCCACCCACTGTCACCCTTCTGTCAGACTGAATGAGGTCATTGACTGATTCGATCACCTCAGGAGATCTCACTTCTGTAGGCCTCCCAGGCCTGTCTTCATCCTCAACACTGCTCCGTCCTTCTTTAAACAATTTAGCCCACTTGTAGACATTTTTCTAACTGAAACACGTGGCACTATACACAGTTGACATTCTCCTATGAATTTCAACGGGTTCGCACCCTTCAGCAACCAAAAACTTGATAACTGACCGCTGTTCAATCCTGGAGCATGCTTCTTGGTCAGCCATCTTTGTTACTCGGTTAAATTCTCACAGTGTTGTTTGTAATCTGCATAAGAAATTAAATCCACGTGGAAAAGTAGTAAAACGATAAAAATAACTAAAAAGTAAGCTTCTATGTGTATTAGAAGCCCTTATACAAAAAAATTCACCTTATTTATTGAATCACCCTATATATATAACAGGGTGTTTTGTCCTAATTCTTAACAGATTTGTTCAAAGAAGCCATTAAAGCTACACTTATGCGGTTTGTGCGAGTGAGTTATATGGTCAGGGGCACATTTAGTTGGTGGGTAATCTTTCCGACAAGTCTGCTACATACTTAAAATTCGTTAACTAACTTTTTAATTACTGAAAATTGACGTATGGTTTCAAGTAGGAACTTGCTCCGCGTGTTCAAAAACCACTAGATAAGTAATTTTCAGAAAGATTTCTAGCGCGTGGAAAGCGTAGTAGTGTACTAAACTTACCACTCGTGGAGCAGGTACAAGGCTAATGGTTGCGGTAAGGCGCCCGCGCGATTTTTCCGTCTCTTATCTAGCCTCAGCCTTGTACCTGCTCCACGTGTGGCAACTTTAGTACACTACAACGCTTCCCACGCGCTCAAAGTCTTTCTGAAAATGACTGATTTAGTGGTTCTCGAAGACGCTGAGCAAGTGTCTAATTGGAATCATATGTCTATTTTATTTAATTAAAAGTTAATTAACAAATTTTAATTAGCCGACATACTGCAAAGATTAGCCACCCATATAATCTCCCCCTGGCCGTATAACTCACTCGCATAAACCGCATAAGTGTAGCCTTCATGGATTTTTTTTTAAACAAATATAATAAAAAGAAACACCCTGTGTATATAATAAAGAAAATTTTCGGGAGTGTTCTGACACCTGAACACCCCCTGGCAACGCGCCTGAAGGATACGGGCATAAAATTTAGCAAGTGTTAACATTCAAAGAATATATTGTACGTACCACCTTATCTAAAAATAATTTATTTGATAAAAGTCTAAAATAACGCAGTCGCATCTTGACGAACGGACGGATTCCAAATGATTTCCTTTTGGGGCACGTTTTGGTGAGAGTTTCCTTTTTTCACACCGGCACCAAGGCAAAGAAACAGGCGCGACTGACACAACCCGAACAACTATTTTTGGCTATAACTGACAAGGACTCTACGCGGAATATCTCTCGGAGGAAGATAGCAGTGGTCATTGTTCGCCAAATCGCGTGGAGGGCCGTTCGACGTCCTTCCCCTCCTTCTTTTAATGACAAGCAGAAACGCTTGAATGGCAGGCACTTACCAGCCCTATCTCTCACAGTGGAAGATAACACAAAAAGGTTAGGCAGCATGCATCAGAAAAATTAAGTGGAAACTTTCAAGAGCGGCCAGAAAACGTCGAATGCAAAACCACAAATTATATCTGGAGAATCGCTCTGAGCGGGTTTCAACAGTCCAAGAGAGTGGCAAAAATTTTCTAGCTGATAGAGGGCGCGAGAGTAGCACCAGCCGCGTCAGCATCAGAAACATGACGCGGCGGCCTAGGAGCGTTTTTCGGAAAAGTGTATAAGTCGGGCAATCATGTCATTTAACACCTGAGTCCGTGGAGCAGAAAAGGAAACATCTTAGTCGAAGGAACAGACACAGAATGGGACGTTCCCTTCTGTGCCTGTCCCTTCCACTGAAAGTTTCGCCCTTTTCTGTGCCACAGACCCTGGTGTTGAACAACACGAGTAGCTGCCACCAGTTCGACTGCACACGAACAGTCTTTTCAATAAGACGGGTGTCAGTTCAGTAGTTCAAAATAGGTTAGCGTTATGCGAAAATTACCTGCTTCTTCGCCTTGTCGCTGGTTTTGTTTAATTAAAAGCCGTGTGTAAAGTAACAAACAGAAATAACAAAAACTTAACCTTGTTTAAGTATGTCCTATGTTCCGGCTATTTACGCAGGAAAACGCAACATTTGTTGGTATCGTAGCTGTTGCACGAAAGTGGCCGCGTATTTACATGTGTGCTTTGCAGGTCCGGTCGCAGGTTTCACTTTCTCGCCGCTACCAATATAGCGGGCGGACGTACGGGTCTGCTATCGATGGCGTTGTGCATTTCACACACCGTACATTGGGTTTAATTCTCACACGGTAGTATACCTTACACAATGTGTGAGAGTTTAATGTATTGTTTCAGCAAGTACTTTTATGAGAACAGCTGTTTTATGAAGATTCAATAATCAACAATGTTAGGTTTTGTGATCTTTTTTTTTTCAGATTGATGTTTCAAAGTTTGTGCCCTCTTTGTACCAAATTTATATGGCGAGACAATATAATGACAGCGCTGTGGAAGCCTATGAAGATTTCATCAAGCAAACAGTAATTTTGTTTTCGGAAGAGGAGGACATTAATGTAACGACAAAGATTGCTCAAGATATATTTGACTTCGAAGTAAATTTAACAAAGGTAGCGTTCGCTTTGATATATTTCTAATGATCGCGTTAGTGTCCCATGTTATGACTATTTAGTATATATATATATAAAACTAAAATTATCCTTTGCGCAGATATACATAGATTTGTACAATTGACATGAGATGCCATATGAAAACATATCAGAGATTCTATACGCTTGATATTATTTATACAAGTTTTATCTGTTCAACCATAGCCTCTTATATACTGACAAAGGCTGGCAGATCGCCAAGAGAAGCAGCCGCCGAAATGGAAAAGGGGGAGCGGCAGACAACGGATGAGAGGAGAGCCACGTGACTGGCGCGCCGATGCGGCGAGACGCCGGAACACACTTCTCTCGAGCTTAAGAGTGTTTTTCGGGTCCTAGAGGCTGCAAAAGCTGTGCGCTGACATCCAAGTTCCCCAAAAAATGGTTCTTTGATGCTCTGTGCTGCCAGATTCCCGCGCTCCAAATCTGCGACCGGGCACTCTATGGCTTCGTCGTCGAGCTGCCAGGCTTTGCGAGTATAGAGGAGGCAATGGCTCAACATACAAATAATTTGGATACGTATATTTTTTCAATACATGTTTAGAAGAACTTTGAACAATTATAAAGTTAATAGTTTCGCTCTGGATGGATAAAAAATTATCGTCCATGCTGACATTCGATTGTGATTTCGAGTTAACGCTTCTGCTTCAACGTAACCGCGAGTGGTTAGCCTCTGTAAGAAATATCAGAAAACCGCTGGGTCTCCTCATCTGATTTAAATTTATATATGCGAATGAAATACACTCAGAAACGGAATAAGCCCTCCACACTAAACATTTTCCCACCTATATTCGTGTAAATGGGGTGTATTTGAGAACACACTTGCTACAATCTTTTTACACCATTTTTACACGCTTTTTGAGTATTTATAGCTGCAACAAGGGCCATTTTCTCCCATCCTACACTCTTCTTACACCCTTCAGGAAGAAATTTCGTGCAAAACGTTTGTAGGTCTTCTTTATTACACCTTTCACGCAGACCGTGTAAAAACGTTGGAATGGCGAAAGTAAAGGAGTCGCGAGGAACTCCCTCCCTCAGGTGGCCTTTCCACGACCACGCTGGGGTACAGGGAAGCGGGGAAGCGGACGCAAACCGGCTGTCTTTGTTTTCTTTACTTTCGACGAGTGACCACGGGTTTCCCGAGCAGGCACCCCGTGGCAAAGACGCTGTCTCCTCCGCGAAGGGGGCGTTTTGTTTTGTGTGAGCTCCAGCGTCCCACAGGGTACACTAGGGACGATCGAGTTGCGGGCTAGAAGCTCTGGCTTGGCGCCACCTTGTCTTGTATTACCTGGTCTCTGGCTTGGCGCCACACTATCTTGTACTCAGTATCTAAAAAAAAAAAATTCAAACTTCCAAAATAGTTGTCGCCGGAACAATCCATGAATCTTTGAAACGTCAGACTCCAGGACAAAGCTGAACCGATCGCAGACTTGGAGGCAAGTGACCGAAAACAGGACAGGAAACAAGGCACGAGCAAAACGCAGTCACCGAATGCCAACAAAAGATCAAATGGATAGCCCCAATTCCGTCACCCTATCGTTTTCTTTTCTTTTTTTTTTTTTTTTCTTCAAGTTTTTTTGGCACTTACGCTTCGAGCTATAAAAAGAAGGCAAAGTGCAAAGTTTATAACAAAGTACTGGTGACGTCATTATAATTTTACACAATTTGTCTGAGGCTTGAGTGGTTCTGTCAGCGGAAGCTTTTGCGCCAACGCTTCGTACGATCAAAATATTGATTGCAGGATCTAGCTTCCTTCCCCAAGGAAGCTAGATCCTGCTGGCTTTATTGAGCTGCAGTGAAATAGATTGGGCTTTCCCAAAGCCCCTTGTGTGCCTATTGTGGCTTGCCTTTGACTCCCATCGTTCAAACGCGTTTTCTTTTTCTTCTTTCTGAATGCGCGCATTGTTTCACTCTCAAAATCCTCCAACCCAGTTTTCCGCCAGGTGGAGCACGGAATTGAAAGCGGTTTCGTTGACAGTCACTTGTTGGTCACTTTCGTTAGCCTCTTTACATTTCTAATACTCGTTGAGAGTTTGAAGGTACAGGCGCTCTTCCTCGCGCTCGGCTGGGGAGACAAAATGCTCGCTTTTGGTTGTTGATCAGCGACAGAGGCTGCTGTCTTCTAGCCGATAGCTCTCATGCGCGTGCGCGTTTGTCATTCACTCGCGCACTCATCATCGAGTGTGGCTGCCTGATGAACTTTTAGTTCGACTGTTAAGGATATGCGATGCCGTACTATGTGTCAAGTCCGTCGAATCAAGTCAAAGCGTATTACGAACTTATTGCGGATTGTGTCATGAGCCGAGTTTGCCATCAAACAAAGAACGCCAGTTGCCACGCGTACAATACGTGACTCGCCCTTGTTCCTAAAATATTTCTGTACCCCTTATGTAGCATATCCCCAATTATTTAAAAGTAAAGTTCGATTGCAGCATCTAAGTCGCTTCCTGAAAGTCTTAAAAATAACAGCAGAATGATTTTCATCGAAGTCCTCACAAGTAGGGCACACAATTTGACATTTTTATTCTTTTATTACCAGCTTACAACCTAGTTGCGAAGTATAATCTAATCTAATTTAATTAATTTTTCAAAGTATTTCTACTCTACACAAGATAGTTCCTAGTAAAAGTAAATTAAATACTACTTTAAATACATTTTCAAATGTGTATTTAGTATCTTACCTTAAATACGTTTGTCGAGTATTCGGCAAAACACTGGTTTAAAGTTGAAACTTCCCCGAGGGCAAGGGAGTGAGTGCCTTCAAAAGGCCGTCAAACTTGGCAGGCCTAAAGTACCACCAACGTACGAACGAACAGTTACTGCGACATTATCGAATACACCGATGATTTATAATTCACATTCTTTATCGTGTTAGCCAAGGTTTGTCATGATCGTCTCAGATAGATACGTATAAATTACGCTAGTGCTATCTCGAATTTATTAGCGTTCCTTGGCTGCGCTCAAGGTTGAAGGATCGTACCAATTAATCTTTCAGCACCCTACAAAACCTTCAGAGCAGCGTCGGCATGGCAAATATGCCTATCAAACCGCGCTCATCAGCGCAATGTGTCTTCCGCGCACAGCCTTCTCCCCCCTATGTCGTCACTGCCACGGGCGGCTCTCCTACCAGGAAAAGATCTTCACATATTAAACAGCATTTCAGTCCCACAACAAGTATGTCTGCCACGGGAGCACGCAGTATTGTGGCGATATTAGCATCAGATCGTAAAGATTGTGCCGATACCATTTTGATCCGGTCGATATCTGTGAAGTATCGCATAGGTCGCGCCAGCACCATCCTGACATATCCTATTCGCCGCCCTTTTTTTGTTGAGTGTGGAAGTGTCGTTTCAGAATCGGCTGTGCTTCAAGTACTTGGATTGATTGAGCAACTCAAAACAAGGCTGAAAAAAAAAAGCAAAACGGAATTTGCTTATTTTTGGCTTGAGAATGACAGACAAAGCAAGCAAAGGGAGCTTAGCTTCATCGTTCCCCTTCCCTTCAACCTCGCCTTTGTTTAGCATCGCCTCCTTCTTTCGTGTCTTCGTGTGGCTGTGAGAGAGCGGGACAACTGCTTCAAGCAAATCAGACGGGTGGAACGAAACACGTGACCGCTCTCCGTAGGACAAAAGAGCTTTGACGAAAATTTGTCGCGTGACTCGCTCTGACGCTCCAATGGGCTCACTGAGGTCGTAATCGCTGCCGCATGCCAAGTTGTGGTAATGGACAGGTGACACGTAGGTCTGCAGTTTCCGCAATGCGCTCTTAAGTGTTCTGTTCTGATTTTTATGCGTTGCAGTCGCAGCCATGGTTTTTCGTCGTGAAAGGTCGGAATACGTCCATATTATTTTTTCGGTAATTGCCGCTTTCTTCGTCGGAATCTATGGAAATATTGTGTTACGTTTGTTGGGCCCGCTTTGACAGGGAACTGGGTATTGGGAGCCCCCCCCCCCCCCCCCTTTCCTCTTTCTTAGGCCAGCGGCATCAATAGGGAGCTTTCGTAGACCGTTCTCCCACCACCGCTACGCTCTCCGGAACGAAGACCCCACTACTGTGCATGCGCGACGCTAGCCTTGCCAGCAGAGTTCCAGATCTCGCAGCGGGTAGCGGAGAACGTTACGGGACAGCGAAAACAGTGTACGGAAACTCCCTAATACCAAGAACTGCTCATCGGTGGCAGCAAAACTGTTGTTGAATGTGGGAAACCTTCTATCAAGACTTTAGGATTGCGTTTCTCTGTGCTGCCCCAGTTGGATTATGCATCTATCGCAGATTACATGATATCGCTGTTTAATGTAAGTGCACGGTAAGCATGCTCTTGACAGTAGTCCTGCTTCCGTTTGAATAGAGAGTTTTAGTATATCGTTCCGATACATTTGATACCCCCGACAACGATAAAACGTATACGCAAAAACGGTGGTGGTGTTGGGGGTATCGTTGTCAGAGTCATCGGAACAATCAACTAAAGCTCTCTAATTTCCACGGTCATTCGTGTTTATTTTAGGAATTTTCGCTTTGCATGAAAGAATGTATTTTATTATTTATTGATTTTCTGTTCTACACGGAAGCATCACGTTTGTAAATCCGTCAAGAAAAAGCTGTGTGCATTAAGAGTGGGTTAACAAACTTCTGTAAGAGTGTGAAAGTAATTTCGTTTGTCCATCTATGCGTGCGAGGCGCGGAATGTATGCATGAGAAGCCAATACTCTCGATATTGCCGATACAAAGTGAGCGCATAGGCGACGGCCGTCCAATACAGAGCACGTGCCTATGAGACAACTGTCCGATACCCGGCCGACGGTCCGACCTGGGCAGTACTCGCACGATATGTCGCCGATACTAGGCCAGTGGCGAAACGGCGGTACGCCAATACCTGCCGAATGTCGGGTCATGGTGGAAAACACACATTTCGGCGATACTGGAGCCGGTTATTGGCCGAGTTTACCACTAGACTGGCCAAGTAT